ACCTTTTCCTGAGCTATTAGGCTGGCTCCGTTGTAGTACGCTACTCCGACTCCTATACCCTTGCCTTTACTTGTGGCTGAGGCGTCTGAGTAGATAGAGAGGAGGTATTTGTCTTCTGGTAGTTCTTTGTGTTCTTTTGCTTCGACTTCCTTAGAATTCTCGGATATGAATGTCTTGTAGAGTATTTTTGAGCTCCATGGCATAGACATGTAGCGCTGGATCTTTTCACAATCTGCAGATAGGGCTGTTGAGATAGATCTAGTAATGCGCTCTAGCTGTTTCCCTTGGTTGCTAGCGATGGCAGTGTTGAGAGGGTGACTAGGGGCTAGTTTTCTAGCTCTAAACGCGTATTGTCGCAGGGCGTTGTTTAGCCTGATTTTCTCTGTTAGTTAAACTACGTTAATCATTTTTTAGGTCCCAGCGATTCTATTGTTGCAAGCGTAGCCTCATTTAAGCTCATGTTTGTAGAATCACTGTGTGTTGAAGCTGTGATGTTGTTTTGGTGGGTTGGTCGTTGGAACACCATCAATAATCATGTTCTTGCTGGACTTTGTACCACACAACTACATACAGTACACGATAAAATAATGCAAATGTGAATTTAGCACGCTCCACATGCCAGAGGTTGGTGGTAAACGCTTAGTATGTGCCCGATTATTGCAGGGCCTGTTTTTCGGACAAGGAAGAACTGAAAAAGGCAGGCCATGTTGCACAAGTTGTAGCTCACTGGGTCATTATTTCGATAACCCATCTTACCAGTCTACATTAACACTCAATGCACTCGATGAAGGAGCAATCTATTCGCTTGCTTGCTACATTTTCTCAATAAGTGATCTTGAATACCCATGCGAACTCATCAGCCTCCACTATGTCGTTCTTGATGTCCAAACTCAGCAACCCGTTGTCCAAATAACTCGGTATGATTGCACCAGCATTCATGCCACCCACCACAGTGACATTGTCACCCTCTCTATAAGGTACTGGCGAATGTATGGTGAGTGTGGTATTCGGTTTGGTCATTGCAAGGATGTAGAAAGCGTCGGCGGTCTGGGTGAAACGAATGTTGGGATCCTTTTCATCAGAAGATGCCATGGACCAGAAGGTGGTGTTGAAAATGGCTTCAGAGTGGGATTTGATCCATTTTCCTGCGACTCGAAGATTGTGTTGCTGGATGGAAGGAATGATACCTGTAGTTACGTTCAGTATCTGTCTCTTATCTGCTGTTAAACGGATGAAGCTCAATGTTGGCAAATTGCTTCTGATTATGGTGTACACATACCTTCGGCGGTAGGGCCTACGTTGAGGAGAAAATTGCCATTCATGGATATAGCTTCGATCAACCTCGTCACGATGACTTGAGGTTTCATGTACGCGTCTTCAGGGGTCGCTCGATTGTAACCAAAACTAAACGGGTCAAGACTCGCTGTCCTCTCCCATTTCCGGTTGCGCTGCAAAGTCGAATAGGTAGCTGTGTCGAAATCTCCCTTAATACCACATCGATTGTTAATTGAGACCTGCCTTCCCTGTTTTCTAGCATTGTTGAAGTACTCCGCCGCGAATTGTGTCGTGAGATTAGGACCGCCGATGTCACACCAAAGGAGGTCTGTGCCCATCGCAGCCAATGTCCGCATCTCAGGTAACACCTGTACCATGATTAGAGCCAGAAACATACACAGGATCAACATTTACCTTCTCTGACACATAATCCGAAAGAGGCACGTACCCAAGGTATGGTAGTTTCTCGTTTGTGTATGGGTTGGTAGCATTACCGCCAGGCCATTCTCCAAACCCGTGATAGTCAGGATGAAACCACTCTGGTAGACTATAGTATGCGCCTTTGTGTAGATGAGGCTGGTATTTATCCGCAGCATCATATAGTTCCTGAAGAAGGTTGCGGTGGGGAGTTTGTATAACGCTAGTCCTGAGACTAATATTCGTCGGCAGATCGAAAAGTGCATAGCCGTCATGTTGTTTAGCGCTTTGGACGAAATAGTTGGCTCCTGCATCAGCAAAAAGATTAACCCACTCCCTAGGATCATACGCAGAGGCAGTGAAGTTTGCAACAAAGTCGTCGAATGTTACATTTGGGCCGTATGTTTGGAGATGGTATTCGTACGTTCGCTCTCGCGTGCTGTTGGGCCCAGAATTCATCCACCACCAGTACCACTCAGCAAAGGATTCCTGGTTACCCGTGTTACCCCACCCAGGAACAGAATATGGACCCCAGTGAACCATAATGCCATATTTACCATCGTTAAACCATGATGGTGTTTCATGTGAGTATATGCTGACATCAGTTGGCTCATAGTCCATAATACCGAAATTAGCGGGAAAGGCATAGTGTGTGGTAGACATGTATGTGCCAGATATGATGAGCGTTGCCAATTGGGCTATTTCTTCTTTCTCACTGACTACACCGATGCGCACTCGTGCCTCATCACCTGGACGAAGTCGCTTGATGGATGCTGGGCGAACGGTCCTGGTGCTACTGGCTTCTCCTTCGATTGTAATTAGAACATTGTGCTCGGGAAGAACCCATTGCGTGCCAACATTGAGAATGGTTGCCTCAAATATCTGCATATTCGACCCTTCCAACCAGCTGTTCGTGCTTCTGGCTAGCTGTACCTCCAGCATGGCGCCTGTCGATATGTTTGCTGGCACCAAGGACACAGCAAATATGTGAAGCCTTGTATTTTGTGTAACACCTCCCGGTCCATTCGCTGCCCCCGAAGTGACGTTTGGCAATTTCAGTTGAGCTAATTTTTTCGTACTATCGAGCCAATTGACAGTGCGGAAGATGGAAGATTGGTTGTAGTTGGTAGTCATGTTTGTGAAATGGAACGGGAACATAAGGTCGCCCGCGTAATGCCATGGCGACCAGACCGAAGACCATGACCACCATGGAAACCCAATGACGCTAGAAGTCGTAGTTGAGCCGTCTACATAGCTTGCGGTGATAGCGCTGGTTACGATGCTATTTTCCGAGGCGACAAGCATATGGACAGCGAGGTAGCTTCCTTGAGATATGTTGAGAACTTGTCCCTGAGCAAGAACGTTATCGTATCCACCGTCAGGTTGATATTGCGGGAAGACAAAACCTAAGCCTCCGTATGATAAATTCTCCTGGGGAAGATGCTGGGCTGGATAGCCAGCGCCGTTACCGTCGAAGTTTGCATCGCGAGGCTGGATGCCGAAAGCCCTGTTATTGCGCAGTTCTGATATGTCAACTGGTTGGGAAGCGGCACTGCCAATCATTCCAGGGTTTTTCTTAGGGTCAAAGAGCGGATGTAAGCCCTCAGACCTTAGCTCCAAAATGGAGGCAGAAGACAACAGGACTAACTGCACGAAGCACCACAGCATGGGCAGATATGGTATATTATGCAGACTGCGTATATTTAGATATAACGATGCTATCACGGCGAATGTTGTGTTCTTGCAATTGAATAGCGTGTAGGGATGTGCTAACTGAAGCTGAGTATTTCTTATCACAAGAAGTTATAAAACATGATTTGTTATGAGGTGTTTTTGTTCGTTATTCGAAGTCGGTTCTAGTGCCTGTTTCGGATCGTAGTGGCGTGAGCCGATATCGGCTATAAATGCGCCCAGACAGCGGATATTGAGAGTTAATGGTAAGGGCCGGCACACAACAAAAATCAAGAACGCATGGCTTGCAGTTGCCGATACTACCACGGAATTTAGCCCTTGTGGCGGAAATGTCTCCGAATAAATTCCAGTTTCACTAGGCTTGACTGGGAAGCAGCATCTTTTTAAAAGTATCTGTCTTTAACAGACTCACATCTTCACCACACGCACCAAAATGGATCCTCAGACTCTCAGTGTTTCATTAGGGGGCCTAACTCTTATGGTCTACCTTATTCGACAATGGATGCTCCCAAGGCCTATTCCAGGCATTCCATACCGTCCAGCCTCGGCGCAAAGCATTCTAGGCGATGGGTCAGCTATGGTGGAAGAACTGGCCGGGACGGAGGATACCTGGATGCAGTGGGTGACACGTCAACTTCTGATTCTGGATTCGCCCATCATTCAAATTTTCCTCCCTTTCAAGCCGCCTATTGTCGTGGTGGGAGATTATGAGGAAGCCCGCGACATTATGATGCGCCGCTGCCCTCGCGAATTCGATCGATCGCTTCTCCTTAGCGATTTATTGGGAGGCGCCCTCCCCGACTCCCTCATCATGCTGCGGTCCGACGACGTGTTCCGAGGCCACCGCCGTCTGCTGCAGGACTTGATGTCTCCAGTCTTCTTGAGAGACGTGGCGGCGCCAAACATCTATACGCAGGCATGTCGACTGGTACGCTTGTGGGAGATCAAAGCCAAATGTGCTGCCGGCCGACCCTTCGATGCCAGCGGCGACATCTTTAAGGCTGCCCTAGACGCTGTCTTTGGGTTTGCATTTGGACCGAGTTGGCAGCACAGTGCTATGCAGCCTATGATCGACGCGATCACCCATATTTCTGTTGACCATGGCGCCCCTAACTCTCCAGCCAGTTTCCCCGAAGGCATGCAGGACGAAGTGATTACCGCGACGCTTAGTCTCGTAGCAGCCGTCGAGAAAGTGCAAGGATCCCTGTCAATGAAGCTAACATGGCTCCTGCTCTCACTTACACCGACATTGTGGCGGGCGCGCCGGGTAAGGGAGAGGTACATTACCGACGCCATCCGGGAGGCTGTCGCCCATGTCGTTCGTACCTCGGAGACCCATACTCAGCTATTGGTCACTAGTGCGGTTGAGCACATGGTAGTCCGTGAGGGACGATTGGCGGATGAAGCCGGAAGGCGGCCAGACTTCTTCTCATCTGCTATGCGTGGCGAAGTAAGTTATATGTTGTTTAGACTATCTATTATGAAAGACAGTCTGGTTGTGTGTATTGCTAATTTTGCATATAGCTGTTCGGCTTCATTGTAGGTGGCCATGACACGACAAGTACAACGGTCGCCTGGGGTGTCAAGTATCTCGCCGACCATATCCCAGTACAGGAGCGTTTCCGGGCTGCATTATATGCTGCCGGTAGCCAAGCAAAGAAAGAGGGTCGCTGCCCCTCAGCCGATGAGATCCTGGCCTTCCGGGTGCCGTATCTTGATGCAGTCATTGAGGAGATTCTACGGTGTGGGGGAACGACGCCGGCGCTAGACCGCGAGGCCATGGTAGACACGCAGATTCTCGGCCGAAACATTCCCAAAGGCACGACCGTGCTGCTCCTTACCCAGGGCCCGAGCATCCGCAGCCCGTCCTTCCGTATTGATGAGCGCCTTCGAAGCGAAACCTATAGTTCTAGGGCCAACAGCACAGTTCATGGTCGCTCGTGGGCTGACCACAATGCCGAAGCTTTCGATCCAGACCGATGGCTGGTCCGCTCACAAGATAAGAATGGGAAATATGAGCAGTTGTTCAACGGTACGTCTGGCCCAACGCTTGCTTTTGGTCTTGGCCCTAGAGGCTGCTGGGGAAGGAGACTTGCGTACGTGGAACTCCGGCTCTACCTTGTCCTCATCGTTTGGAACTTTCGTCTTTCCCCCTGTCCACCCGAGCTGTCTAGCTACAGCTCAATTGCCGGCATCACAAGCAAGCCCAGGCAGTGCTATGTGCGCCTAACCAAAGCCGGTCTATAGCTACCAAGACTATCATTTGATTGTTCTGTCTGTAGTTGTGCTACTAGCAAACTCTGTATACGATGCGAGACCAACGTCTGCTAACGCTGTTGTACTAAACTGCACGGGAATAGTATTACTAGCCATCTGTGAGTGACGCGGCAATTCGAGGCGGAGTCGGACTTGGGAGATACTAGTACTTACACCCTACTGGATAAGTCACTGATGCATGTTACATATACGTATAGAGCACTTCCCTCCGTCTACCTATCCGATTGGTGTTGTTTAATTCCTCTAGGCATCGTTCAGAACCTATGTTGAAGTATTACTTTAAATGCCCACCACACGGTGTATGCGTGTGGCGGGTAACAAGAGTGGAAGACTATTGTTAACGAGGCTAAGTCGAGACAAATTTCTGTCTCGCACCTAGTAGGTGGGGTTATGAATAGGTGTGGAAAAGTCGGAATATTGGATCTTGGCTACCGATGCGTGTACTCTAGAGCTGTTTTGAATCATCCGGGTATCGGCTCTGTCTGTTCCGTTAGCCGGTCCATTGCTACTATTTTACCCGACTACAAGCAGATGAACGCCCGCATCGATACCATCCGAGTCTCTGCTTCTGTATATATTTGCACTGTGGCTGTGATTAGTCCTGCCTACCTTCGCCTGTCTACACACCTCTTTTCGGAACTCAACATGAGTGCTACAACAACTATAACAACCGGGTCGATAAACCAGAAGCCCAAGGTTGTCAATGGCATCTTTACTTATTATGATGGTCCCAAGCCGCAGGTTGACGATACTTCGATGCTCTGGGGCAACAACAAACACTTGATCACTAGAACGGAGCCTGTGATAGACCTCCGCAGCCTCCGCAAGCCGCTGTCGGAATACAACCATGACGAAGACGGAATCCAGATTCTGCACAAGCCGGATATTTCCGTGCTCAAAGGGAACCTGTACGATCACGACTATGTGCAGAACCATTATCGACAGGACCTGGGGAAGTTTATCAAGGAGAAACTGGGCCTGCGGCACTGCATTCTCTGGGGCCATCTGGTCCGCGATGTGCCCCGAGAGGTGCACACCAAAGTTGGCGAGAAGCAGGTGGCGTACCCGACAGCCTCTGGTACCACGGCTTTTCATCTAGCCCACGTAGATTTCTCTCCTGCCGGCTCTCGTGCGTTCCTGCGCTCTGCAGGTACCCCGGATTACTTCAAGATCCTCAACAATAGCTACATTCCTGAAGAGGATCGTGCCGGCTTCTTTGCCCTACGCGAGAGGATCATCGCCGCCGAGGAGGCCGCTATGCGCAAAGCCGGTATCGACCCTGAAGCTGAGAAAGACGGGCAAGGTGGTCATTGGGACTGGGACGGCAGTGGTTATGATGGCCCTCGCTATGGCGTGGCAACGCTCTGGCAGCCTCTCGACGAAGTAAAACGCGACCCTGTCGCTTTCTCTCTGTCTCCGGACCGTGACCTTAAGTACACCGGTCTTCGCAGGAAGTACCATCAACTTGGCCACGAATCCATGGGCGAGTTCTACTTTGAAAACATGCTCGTGCATCCCGAACCTCAACAGCAATGGGCCTACGTCAGTAACCAGAAACCAGAAGAAATCTTGTTCATGAAGTTCTACGATACGAATGCATTGGAGAGTGATGGTAGTACTAAGAGTATGAGGGTTCACGGCGCGTTCCATATTCCTGGCACCGAGTCTCTGCCACCTAGACGATCCATCGAGACTAAATTGTTTTTCATGTATGAGAATTAGGATTGAAACCTGAGCCGGTAGTAGTCTTGCGACGATTCATAAGGGACTGAGATACGTGGTTCGTTCACTCTTTTCATCACGCTGTGAGGGAACAAGTAGTGCACACTCGTTTCGCAAGCAGCGTTTGAATACCAGGACTGTAGAATTCCTCCAAGAACCTGATGAGATCCAAAAGTGCAAGTAAGCGGCAGCTGCATGGCTCCAACCAAGCAATAATTGTACATCTTCACCAGGATCGGTTGCATCGACGTATCAGAGTAGGGAGATTAGGAGAGCACAATGCCAACTGCATACAATCACATAATCTCGTGGTACTAACACTGAAAAATCAATTAACAAGGTTAAAACGAAGTATTCTCATTTGCAAATATGTCAATTACTGTAAAGTGATCTCCATAACAGCCATTGTTTCGCCCCGCTGGAGCAGCTTCCACACGAGTCGCGAATCAGCCTCCTTTACCAATTCTATCCATTCATCCTCGCTGCGCTCTTTTCCGTTGTTCACAGCCATGAGTAACATGTTGCGGGACCTATGCAAGGGCCCAGTTAGTTCTTCCATAAACTATCGCCTGTAGTTGTCCGAAGCAAGCGACTTACCGTGTCTGCCATTCCTTGAGATTGGGCAGAGTACCTGGAGCTGGTACACACTCCTCATTCAAAATGATGCGCGAGCCAGGCTTCATCGCCGGCACAATCTGTTTGAGAATCGCCACTGCTGCTGAGTCGGGCCAGTCGTGCAGGATCTTGCGAAGGAAGTATACATCAGCGCCTCGGACAGGCTGTGGCTCGAAGAAGTTGTGCGCTTGGGTTCTGACTCTGCTCCGCATCTCAGCTGGTATCAATGCTTCTGCTCTCTGAACAACGTCAGGCGAGTCTTGAATGATGATAGTGCCGAGTGAGGGGTATCTCTCTGCAAGCGATCGTGCAAAAGTGCCATCGCCGCCACCAACATCGATAACAGTTGCATCAGGGTTCAGGCCTGCCCAGTCAAAGCCTGCAAGTGCAGAGCCTGCCTCCCAGCCAGGCATCGACTGGTACGCCCTCATGGCGTTGTCCAACCGAGCAGACCGTTTCGGGTCTTTCTTCATCGTTTCGAAGATGTCAACATCGGTTCCCTCGGCAAGATTGTGGCCCGAGTGATGAGGTGGTCGGAGGTGCAATGGCTCTGGCCACTTGGCAATGGCGTCTAGAGCGCGTGGGAAGGCGGGCCAATAGTCCTCGCAGATCATGCCCAGCAAGTCCATCTGCGGTTGCGAGGATGCGAGGAAAGCCGAGACCGCAGAGTGAGCAACGTAACCGGGACGTGGCTGCAAGAGGTTATATTTTGTGACTGCGTGCTGTATGAGGCGGTTGAAAGACTCTTCATCGACGCCGCACTGTTCAGCAAGCTCAGAGATGGCAATATCGCCGTTCTTAGGAATGCGCCGAGGTATGTCATAGCGGTACAGAGCATGGAGAGAGAGTAGATCGAGCTGCACTTGCGTTCAGAAAGCGGAAAGAGAGGCAGCAGCTAGTATGTTACTCACAGCTCTGCCATACTGCAGCCGCAGCCATTCCTGTGGCCCGCTCAACAAAGCCGTGAGCCTATCCAGCGAAAATAGAGCGGACTCCACCAGTTGCTCCAGATCTGCTGGCAGAGGAGGCCTCGATGGCCCGTCTCCCTTGAAGCACAACCTTGAATGTCCATTTTCTTGGTGAAACTGCTCCAGTTTTGCCACTGTCTCCAGTATGCGTTCCGCAAGCAGGACCGAGATTGGTGAAGAAGAGGAGGCCATGGTCTTGTAGCAGGATATGATCAATCTTTCGCACAGGATTGTCCGTACGGTGATATTTCTGTGTAGTACTCAAGTAAGCTTGGAGATATATCGCGGCGTGACTGCACGCTGTATGTTGAGAAGTTAATAAAATGTAAACAACTCCGAGACCCTGCTACGTACCCGTGATGATTGCCTAAGGCCGCATTACCTAGTTT